CTCAGCCCAGCCCATGAGAAGCCCTGCTGTGAAGACTCAGGCAGGCATTGGACACTGAGCTCCAGGGAGCTGAGGCTCCCCACTGGGCCTGCCCCCCACTCCCAGGATCTCTGGCCCCCCAGGCCTGAACCTCGGGGGAAGGCTGAGCGGCAGGAAGCGTGGGTGCTTCCTGTCAGCTGCCAGCGCTGCTCAGAGAGGAAGTTGTGTGGCCGCCTGGAAGGGCGTGGCTCTGAGGGTGACAGAGTGCGGAAAATCACCCTGAGATTGCTGCCCACACTGCTTTATGCTCAGAGCATCACTCTTCAGCTTATAGCTGGAGAAACAGGGGGCCTGCAGCCAAGGAGAGCTGGCACCAGGTTCTAGGGTGCCAGCTTTAGTCACTCAGACACTCAGGAAGTCTCGTGTGCCTGAGGTTCACGCTGCCCAGAGCCTACCTTCACTGACCCACTTGTCCACCCACGTGAGGGACAAGTATCCCAACGCGCATACGAGAGTAAGAACTTACGGCGTTTTCCCTGCAGGTACCCAGCTGATCACTGGGCGAACATGGCCTGCTTCCTGGAGACCCTGCTGCACCCCAGCTGTGGGACATATGCAAGGCTTCCCTGCTCTAAACCCGTTTCTTCACTGGTACAGTGCCCCTCACCTCGTGAGGTTGCTGGGTGGAGGAAATGGAATAATACATGTTCTTAGCACAGGCAACGTCCTCAAAAGTTAGCTCTCCCTGTTCACACCGGAACTATGGTAAGTAAAAGTAACACCAGACATTAGATAGCAGCATACGAAGTGCTTTCAGATTTTCAGATGAGATGAAGCAGCCAAGGCTGACGGTGGGTGACTCACTTAGGGCCCCCAGCCAGAAAGCGGTGGGAAGGGGACTCGGCCCAGCCCTTTGGCTCCAGCAGGGCAGAGCCACAAACTTCTCCTGAGAGCCCTCCACCAGCCAGTGCCCGTGAGATGGCCAAGGCTCCTGTCTCAGCTCGGAGTTGTGTTCATGTATGAGTTTGCTATGATACAGGGGGGATGGCTTGAAGCTCTGATCCCATTGTGTGTAGACCCAGATTTCTATGTTCTTTATTTACATCAGGAGAAGTTTGTGACTCTACCCTGCTAAGAGCCAAAAGGCTGGACTGAGTCCCCTTCCCACTGGTTTCTGGCTGGGGGCGCCCAATGGAGTCACTCGCGTTCTGTCCGCCTTGGCTTCTTCCTCTGAAAAACTGAAAGCGCTTGTGTACGGCCGTCTGGTGCTGTAGGCCCTATGTGAACAGTGGTAGCTAGCATTTTCCAACTCTATATGGGCCAAGCACATATATTTCTAGAGAAATAGAACCAATAGGATGCACATACATAGAAAAAGAGCCTCATTTTAAGGAACTGAGTCATGTGATGGAAGCTGGCAATTTCAAAATTTGCAGGGTGAGCCAATGGGCTGGAGACCCCGAGAAGAGCCAGTGAAGGCAGCTGTTGTGCTTTCTCCTTCTTGGGAGCGGTCAGCCTTGTGTTCTAGTCAGGCCTTCAACTGACTGGGGAGACCCGCCAGACGTCTTATAGGACAGTCTGCTTTACTCGAAGTCCACCAACTTAATGTAAATCTCATCTGAAAATACCCTCCCCAAAACACTCAGAATAGTGTTTGACCAAATGCCTGCACACTTTCGCCTGGCCGAGCCGACACGGAAAATGAACCGTCACAAAATCTGGATGCCCAGCTCCATCAGGAGTTTGCCAAGAGAACGAGGCTTTGGCCCTAACGCCGGCTCCACGGGTGACTGGAAAGATGAAAAGGGCTGTGGAATGAAGTTGAGTCTATGAGCCCAGCTCTCTCACCCTTCCCCTTGCATGAGAAAAATCCTGTTAATGAAAAATTTTATTATGTTTCATGTTCAGTCAATTCAATTTTACTACCTGGCTGGAAGGTTGTAGGTGAACATTCTTTTCTTTTATCATTTCTTTTGATATGGTTGTAACATTTGTATTTTATTTAAACTGCAAGCTTACATGCAACTTAATGAAACAGGAGAAATATGTTTATAAGATTTTTAATTAGAGTACTTGTTTAAGGTTAGTTTAAGTACTGCTTATTTTGAAAAAAATCAATTTTATTAGGAACAGCAGCTGGTGCAATGACTGGAGGAAATGGAAGAAAATTATGGACGAAAGATAAATTTGGGCCATTCTTGCTAATAGGCCCACCTCGAAGAATACCAGTCAGGGCGAAAAATCATTGCCCGGGTGCATTAGACACTTCAGGACATGTAAGTATGCAGGCTAGTCTAGAACTAGCAAAGGCAGAAGGAAAAAGAGAAAGGGTGAACACATTTACCATGATCTACATATGACTGCTCCTCTTACTAACCCCAAATCTCCTGAGCTTTGAGACGAAAGTGGAGGAGGGCCAGAGAAGGAGCTGCCGGATGGCTCTCTCCCCAAGAGGAGGGCGCCGCACCACCAGAGCTGCGAAAAATGAATCATGTCGTTTATATCAGGACTTTGCACAGATCCCTTGGGAAACTCATTGCTGAGGATCCAACAGAGATGACTGTCCTTTTTGGGAGCTTAGCAATTTCTGGAAGCAACAGTATAATCAATTGAGGTTCAATTACAGATTAAAATAAAATTAAATACGTGCAGTATGACTTTTGTGGGCTGTGTTCTCCTTTCCAGATCAGCACAGCATCTACTGGAAAAAGAAAACGTCAGACTTGGTTACAAAAGTGCAGTGGGTGGTATTTGGGAGCCTACCTTCATGTTAGGAGTGGTTCTTTTTTTCCCCCTCCTCTTTAATGACAGAGAGCACATGCAAGTACGAGAGAGAAAGAGAGAGAGAGAAAAAGTACCCTCTACTGGTTCTCACCCCAATCCCAATTCCCCTGCAGTCCTTCAGGATCCTGGGCACATTGGTACAAGCCCCTAGAATGGTTTTAGGCTTGAGGATCTGAACCTACAGTCAGGTGCTTCCAGTCTTGCAGGGCACTTGTGTTAGCTACTGCGCCACAGTGGCTGGGCTGATTTCATTTAAAATCTGTCAGTATATAGATGGGACCAGCCAATGGCATAATGGTTACGTTGCTGAATGCCCACATAGTTTGAGTCCTGGACCCAGTGGCTTAAAAGTCACACTGTGAACTTGCATGTGCACACCCAAAGTCCCAAGAGGAAATTAGAGAAGGAAATGCGGTGTGGCCATCCCCTCTGGGGGGTGATGTCTCACTTTCTGTCTCTCTATTTCTATCTCTCTGGCGAGCACACACACCCTATAGCAAAAAATCTCTCTTAAAAAAGTAGCGATATATATAGATAACACTTCTTGGTTTATGAGTGCATCTGTGTGCATCATCATATTTAAGCTTCACTAAAGCAGATGCATGACTGTTCTAGATGAGACAACTTAAGGCCACATGTTAACAGGCTTCCAGAGGAAAGCCTGCGCCCTCTCCACTCTATCACATGGTGGACCCTCCCTCAGTCTCTGGAGAGCGTCAGAGTGGCAGCTGTGATTCTTATTGGCTCCTTGTCACGAAGGTGACCAGTGCCCTCTCCAGTATGGGATACTCTTGAGCAAACTGCAACAATTGGTCACCCTATCTATACATTTCCCCTAGTCCTTATAGGAAGTTCTGCAAGAGCCATATGAAGTTCTAAGAAATTTTTAGGAGGACATAATTACATGTGCATGGGGTTCACATATAATTTCCTTCTACCCAAACATTATTTGCAAGCAGTTTTTAAAAATAATTATTTATTTAATTTTACTTATTTATTTATTTATTATTTTTAAATTTTCTATAGGGCACATGCACTCACTAGAAAGACAGAGAGAGAGAAAGTGAGAAAGCAAGCCACCAGATCTGGGACTTAAACCCCAGTCAGTCATGTGGGAGTCCAACACTTCAACCAACATGCCACCTGCTGGCCCCAGAAAGCATTTTTTTTAATATACCATTTTGCGATTTTTTTTAAGGTTGTCATTTTCATTTATTTGCTTCTTTATTTCTTCTTTGTTCCTCATTGTTATTGAATTAGATCACAGAGAGATAGAAAGGGAGAAGGGATGGAAGTGGAAAAAAATAAGTAGAGAAACACACTGGATCTTATTTCTTAAAAGCTTGTGTATTCACTCTTCCATGAGAGAGAGGTAGGGGCGGACAGGTACTCCTGACAAGGTCTTGGTGCAGCAACCTACCTCCAGCCTCTGCCAGCTGGGATCATGGGTACACGCACACACCTGAGTCTTCAGGAAGACCCTGCCATGCAAACCTGGGGCCTTCCCAGGTGGGTTTAGCATTGAAGGCAATTTTGCTAAGGAAGCCTGATCTCACATGGCCAACCTTAGAATCTTGGCCCTGGTGACTTGAAAAATGCCATGTACAAATCTCACCGGGACAGAGGAATGGAAGAGGGGGTTGTGGCATGTCTCCACCATATTAAGGGGTGCTGTCTGCCCCTCCCCCTGTTTTTCTGGCAAATGCATACAATTTCTGGCAATAAAAAAGTGTTTTGTTATCACTGCACCAGTGTGACTAACCCTGGATCCCATTTTTATAAAAGAATTATTTATTTAATTTTATTAGCTTTTATTATTATTATTATTCATTTGCTACAGGGCATGTGCTTTCACCAGACAGAGAGAGGCAGAGAGAGAGAGAGAAGGAAAGTGAGAAAGCAAGCTGCCAGGTCCAGGACTCAAACTGTTGTTGGTCGTGTGGAAATCCAACACCTTAACCATCAGACCACCTGCTGGCCCCCTGGATCCCATTTTAAAAGGCCTTGGTTTCAGTCTGTTGTGGGCTGATCTGTGGTACTAATTCTCAAACTGGATTATCCTGGTAGTCGGCCCCCACTGAGTCATGCCTCTTGGTATTCACACTCTCACGTAAGTCTCTTCCCTCTTCCCTTGATTGGATTCGCTGTGAGGACTCACTTCTGTGTATTTGCACTTTTTCTCCTGCCCTCCCTCCCTTTCGTGGTAGATGCCAACCACGAGCAGCCCAGGAAAAAGGTCATATGGTGAGAGACTGGCGTCCAGCCAACAGCCAGCAAGGAACTGAGGCTACTGAGGGAGTGAGCTTAAAAGCAGCAGAGACGTCTCGAGAGGACTGCTGCGGAAATCGAGAGCTGGTCACAGCATCATGAGAAACCACGAGTCGGAATCATAGAGCCAGGCCAGTCCCAAATCCTCACCCGTAAGAACTGCCCTGTCAAATGACAAACGCTGGTGGAGTTCAGCCTCAACTCTTCGGGTAATTTGTTCAGAAGCAGCAGATAACTAACACAAGTGTGTATTAGGCTCACTGAGGTAACAGCCTGGTAAGATATGGATTCTGGGCTCCAACCCAGAGATATTATTCAGCAGATGGGGCCTGGCTCCTCGGCCCTTCATCGGGAGTCTCAGGAGAGTCAGAACTGAACACATTCCTGCTGGGGCGCACCTAGCGAGGATAACTTTCCCCTGGGAAGGCCTAGCCAGACAGAAGCCTACAGGGCATAGAGTCACCAAGTAAAACACAAGGTGCCCAGTTCTATTTAAATTTCAGATGAGTGACAAAAAATATTTTAGTGTATGTTCTGTATAGTGCCTGAGATGTGTTTATTCTGAAACAGTATTTATTGTTTATTCGACATTCAAATTTAACTGGGTGTTCTGTGTTTCTGTTTGTTAAATACCATGCAGAGACCCAGGAAGTGAAGACCCAGCCAGAACTAAAGTGGTGCCTCCCGTCCCAGATGGTAGGTTTTCCCACTTACGGGCACTGAGGCCTGGGCTCTCCTTCTGTGATGAGGCCTTGGTGTCTTTATCCCCGAGGGCTTGAGGAGAGGATTCCAGGCTGCACAGTCTGGTCCTGGTCCTGTCCTCTCCCACCCAGAAGGCCGGCCGGCCACACTGTGCCACCCTCAGGCAATCTTGTGGGAGGGTTTAGGGGAGCCGCTCCTGGAGGCTCACATAGTCCCGCCTACCTTGAAGAGACATCCTCGTGATGGACTCAGGGTCGGGGAGCAGTGGGGGAAGAGGCCATGTGTGCTCAGTGCCTTGGGAGGGGTGTCAGGCTCAGCCAGAGGGACACAGCTGCAGGTGGGCGTGACTAGACAGTGGGGACTCCCTCCCTCTTTTCGGTGAGTCGGCACTGTGTTTTCAGAGAGTGGACGAATTGGTCTTCTCCCACCACCCTCCAGGAACTCACCAACTTCTGCTGCTAACTGTGTGCGTTTCTTATCCGCGTCTGCCTGCCTGAGCCTCTGATGGGTTCTGTTTACCAAGGTCGCTAAGTCGTCCCCAAATGACTGAGACTCTAAGAACTTGGGCTTTCTTTTCTTTTGTATATGCTTTCTTGTCACAGGGAACAACTTTAATTTTGATGTGTTTATTCTGAACTATGAAATAGTTCAAAGAGAGAAAGTGGGAATGTGCGTGAGAGATTGGCTGGATGCACGACAATGCTTCAGGCAGGTTGAAAATAAAGGCTTAGAAAATGTGCGGCTGTGGCCCAGTCACACCGACACACGTGCTTTGATACCAGGCCCGAAGGTGAGGTCACACCTCTGCTCTGGTTCAGCCTTGCCCGGCTGCCTGACGGAAGCCGCAAACCCACGCCGCTCATTTCCCAAGAGAGACGGCAGAGGGGTCTGACTTTCTGCAGGAAAGGGAGGGAGTTTGGAGTCAAGTGCACAGAACCTGTTTGCTCTGGAGTCTCTCCAGGACGCAAGGAGAACTCCCTGGGTGCTGCTTCATAAAACCAACATGACTAAGAGCAAACGAAGTCGGAAGGTCGGATCCAAGCATGATGGTGCCATTCCACACCTTGTATGTTGGGAAGAATCCCACAGGAATCCCACAGTTCCAGGCCCCCCACCCCAACTGATCACTTGGAAGGCTCTACAATACAACAAACCAGATTTCCAGTGTGATGTGGAGCTGCGAGGACCTCAGGAACCCCGCTCAGGGTCCTCTCTTCCAAAGAAGCCAGGCTCCCACTTTGGTCCTCAGCTTGACCTCTCTTGGGCATCTGTCCCACTTTGGTCTTCAACTTGAGCTCTCCTCTCCGGGCATCTGAGAAACGAATAACCACCTTGCATGTTTGTTGTGAGGGCTAAGTGCAATGGTGCATATGAACCATTCAGCCCTGAGCACTCAACCGAGTGGCGTGACGGGTGGGGGAACTTGTTTCAGTGTAGAACCAGAAAAGGCCCAGCTTCCTCAGGCAGAGCTCCTATCCACTCAGGAGTCTTTCTGACTGGGAAGAACAAAATAGACCATTAACCCAATCCCTTTCTTAGGGACATGATGAAACTGAGGTCCAGGCTGGTGAGGGCTTGCTTGGGATCCTACTACTGCCTCCTTTTCCAGAATCCCATGTCCTGCCTTGGGGAAACTGCTGTGCGTTTAGTCTAGACACCACCGCGGTGCTGTCTCATTTCTGCAGCTGAAATGGGAGCTCCTTACATAGCAGACCAGGTGCTCGGTTGGCCTTTTTTTAGACACCAGCACCATCGCCATCACAGTGGGCACCCAAGCGTTTTGTGAATGAGCACCAGTGCTACATTCTCCGTCCCTGAGAGAACGAATAATTAGGGGCACAGGCAAGTCTGGGTTTGAAATTAATGACTGTGGGTTCAGAAATGATTTTGAGATTAAATGGACAGTTTAATTTGCATTACAGTAGACAACACTGCTTAGGAAAAACTGCTAGGAGGTAGGACTTCAGAGACAAAGATCATGTCTGTTATTATAATCCATGGCCTCAGGGGGCTTGGAGAGAGGGGGAAGCAGTGAAGATTTTGAAGATTTTCATGCTGATCGTGCAGACATACGACTGTTTGCTCTTTTGAAAATAGATTCGCCTTTAAGTATGTAGTGATGTCTAGCATTAGCTACGTACTTGGTGTGTGTTTTCCTTACATTTATCTGTCTAACCTGCATGACCACTTTAGGAGACAGGTGCTGGAACGATCCCCAGTACACAGATGGGAAAACCCAGACCAGAGAGTAGCTTCTCCAAGGCCAAATAGCCGGCGTACGGCAGCGACCGGGCGAGTCACCGCTTCGGAGCCGGGTTCTTACTCCCATGCTCTCCCACCTTGCAGGAGTCCAGGTACCCGCCCTATGGGATCCGGAACTATTTAGGCATTCCTCATGAGCACGAGCTTTTCATCACATTTCGTGTTAGATCGGCCCCTGCATGGCCTTTTGATAATTTCCCATCAGAACATCAGGAGACGATTGTGGCAACTTTTGTCCAAATCGTCTGGCCAGAGCCATCCCTTGCTGGCAACTGACACCCAGAGATGGGCGAATAAGGTCACAGTGGCAAGTCAGCTAATCAAGGTACCTGCCATTTTTATTTATTTATTTATTTTTTACTGTATCCCTCCATCCACTCTTTATTAATACATCACATCTCTTCAGTGGGGTGCGCTGAAGCACCTCGGGCTTCAGACCCTCAGGCTTCAGACTCCTGGGCGCTCTTTCTCTCTATAAACTTTTCTTTTTTCTCTTGAGATGGTGCCTCCTGAGTCTTACTCCAAACCCTGACCTTACGTACATGGAGCCGAATCCTCATGGCCCCTAATACCCTCGTCTATTCCTACCATACTGTCGGTCTGGAAGCTCCCTGGCAATGTGGCAGGGGAGGGGAGTGCCTTTAATTTATGTTGCTGGAAGAGAATCAGACCCTAGGTTGGTCTGTGATCTAGCGATTAAGGACACCTGATCCCACTCGGGCAATCACATGGTTCAAATCCTGGCCTGGTGGTATGAAAAGCATGTCGGCTGTGTGTATGCTCTTGTCCCAGATCCCGCCAGGATGGAGAAATGAAAGGATTGCTGCATGACCCTGCCCCAATGGTAGCTGCTTTCTCCCTCTTCCCCTTCTTTGTTTCTCCATCTCTCTCTAGAGAGCACACATACTTTCTGGCAAATGGAAAGGAAGGAAGGAAGGAAGGAAGGAAGGAAGGAAGGAAGGGAGGGAGGGAGGGAGGGAGGAAGGAAGGAAGGAAGGAAGGAAGGAAGGAAGGAAGGAAAATCAGGACCTAGATCTGCTCTTCAGCCCATAAAAGGCGTAAGGCATCGGGGACCAGGCTCAGTATTAAGGATTTTGTAGAAAGGGTACTTCCGGGGCCAGCTGGCGGTGTGGAGGTTAAGGCGGCTGGATCCCACATGGCCAACTGTGCATCTGTGTCCCCCAGCAACTTGGAAAACACACCAGGTGTGCGTACCAAAAATTCCCAGAGGAGAATGGAGGAGAAGGGATTGCCACATGGCTGTGTCCCCTTTGGGGTGTGGGGGGAGTGATTTCTCACTGCCTTGTCTGTCTCTCTCAGGTCAGCCCACACACTCTATAGCAATTCAAAAAGAAGAAAAGGAGAAGAAGAAGAAGAAGAAGAAGAAGAAGAAGAAGAAGAAGAAGAAGAAGAAGAAGAAGAAGAAGAAGAAGAAGAAGAAGAAGAAGAAGAAGAAGAAGAAGAAGAAGAAGAAGAAGAAGAAGAAGAAGAAGAAGAAGAAGAAGAAGAAGAAGAAGAAGAAGAAGAAGAAGAAGAAGAAGAAGAAGAAGAAAGAAGAGAAGAGAAGAGAAGAGAAGAGAAGAGAAGAGAAGAGAAAAGAAAAGAAAAGAAAAGAAAAGAAAAGAAAAGAAAAGAAAAGAAAAAGGAAAGGGATACCTCCCAGAGCCCACCAATACCAGCTTAAAATGAGCAATGCATTTCAGTGGTGAGGACAATAAGAAACACAATGGTAGCAATTCTATTTTCATTTCTCCCTTAGGTTATAATAGAGCACTTAGGTTTTTTTTTGTTTGTTTTGTTTTTGTTTTTGGAGAGGTTTTTTGCTATAGGGCGCATGCACAGAGAGACAGAGAGACAGAAAGTGAGAAATCATCCCCCAGGGGGATGGCCACTCGCAATCTCTTCTCCTCCATTCTCCTTTTTGGGATCTTGGGCATGCATGCACATGCGCCCAGCTTGAGTTTAAGCCACTGGATCCGGGACTCAAACTGCAGTCGACTACATGAGAGTCCAGCAACATAGCCATTCTGCCAAATGCTGGTCCCAGAGCACTTAGTTTTTAAATCCCTGTCTCCTCATTTTGATTTGGAGGAGATAGCACCATAGCTTCTTAAAATAAATTAAATTATGTAATGAGTCTTCAGAGAGCTACAATAAACTCAACAGCAAGTAGATACACTGGGCACTTACTTGTAATTTAGTTAGAATACATAAATAAATGCTTTAATTTTCTTTTTAGACACAGGAAGAATACTACACAGTACATATTCAGCACACCCTATGCCAGCTCCTCTGAACCTGTCTTCTCAATTATCTTCTAGTGCATTCTAGATTCAATATCCTCATGTTAAGATTGATTTCATTTTTCTCGACCTTATAGAATTTCATTTTTGTTTGTATCAAAATTTATTTAACTGTCATCTATTAAATAATATTTCAGTCATGTCTAGTCTCATGCACTTACAAATAATGCTGAAATAAATATTGACACTCACACGTGTGGATTTTCGTTTTGGCCTGGTTTTCCTGTTGTTATTTATGAGGAAAAAAATCCAGAAGTAGAACTGTTAAGGGAAAGAATATTTATATTTAAAATTCTAGTCAATATTTTCAAATGATGCTACCAAGAGGTTGCAACCAAGTTGATCTCAGTGAGAAGGAATTTTAAATGCCGAGTCTAGTCACCCTCGTTATCTGACTAGATTGTTATAGTATATAACTTTGCCGCGTGGTACAGCAGGTTAGGTCAGATGATATGACACCTATTAAATGAATGGGCACATTCGTCAGAAGATTTTTTTTTTTTTGGAGAGGTTTTTGCTATAGGGCGTGTGCGCTCGCCAGACAGACAGAGAGAGACAGAGAGACAGAAAGCGAGAAATCACCCCCCAGGGGGGATGGTCACGCCGCAATCCCTTCTCCTCCATTCTCCTCTTGGGATCTTGGGCACGCACGCACGCACATGCGCCCGGCGTGAGTTTTAAGCCACCGGGTCCAGGACGCGAACCACGGTTGACTACATGGGAGTCCAGTGACATAGCCATTACGCTAACTGCTGGTTCCCAGAAGATTTTGAATCGCTTAGTGGGAAGGAGTGTGGGAGCCTGGTGGACACTGGCAATGACACTCATGGTAGAGGAGAAGAATCTTTTTTTAATGAATTATTTTATTTGACTCTATTTATTTATTTTTAATTTTGACATGAGAGGGACAGAGCAAGAGAGTGAAAGCGAGAGAGAGAGGGAAAGTGAGAAAGTAAGCTGTCAGGTCCTGGACTTGAACCGTGGTTGGCCATATGGGAGTCCAGTGCCCTTACCCACCACACCACCTGCCAGCCCCTCAGGTGTGGTAACTGGAAAATGGCCACTTGTGCAATGCATTTACCGTATTTCCCTGGGACCTCCTCACGCCTAGGTCTTTTGACCTGAACTCGGGTTGGAAAAGGAAATATCTGTGATATAAACTTGGACATCTCCCTATCCGCTCCATCGGATGAGATATAGAACTCAGCTCTGTGAAATCCACCATCCCCTCTGAAACGTACTTTTCGAGGTGTGCATTCCTGGACCAGGTTACGCTGAAGTTACCTGACTTTCTCCATCCAAGCCACTGAGAATTCAGTGATTCCTTTAACTTGTGGCTTTTCCAAACTCCCTCCTGAGCTGGAAGGTTTGAAGTGCAGGTGGTTAATGTCTGGGACATTTTGTCCCCACCTGAAGTTGTGCAGGGATAAGAAACACCCCTGTAGACTTACTGGGGGAGAAGATTAAAGCTGCCTGCCACGGTACGCTCTGTAGATTCACCAAGAGCTCATCGGGGTTCTGTCTTCACCCTTTATTACCAAGGACGGGACAAAGTCAACCACATACTATCCTGGTCCGTATCTGGTATGATTATACTACGCCCCGTCCTCACAAGGCACAGACCAGCAGGTGACACCAAACCTAATCTAAACTTGTATTTAGGGGCCAGCAGGCGGCATAGTGGGTTAAGACACTGAGTTCCTACATGGCTGACCATGGTTCAAGTCCTGCACCTGGCATCTTGAAAATCACAACAAATAGATAAATAAATAAATGTATGTTTTTTAAAATTATATTTAACACTTGAAAATAAATTACCTGCTGATCCAGGACCCGATCATTTTATGTTTTAAAATGTGCTGAGTGTTTGGGGGCCAGCAGGTTGTGTGGTGGTTAAAGGCGCTGGACTCCCACATGGCCAACCATGGTTCAAGTCCTGAATCTGGTGGCTTGCTTTCTCACTTTCCCTGTCTCTCTCTGTCTCACTCTGTCCCTCTCTGGTCAAATTAAAATAAATAAATAAAGTTAAATAAAATAATTATTTAAAAAAATGTGCTGAGTGTCTAACCAGGGACGATGGGGAACATAAAAGAAATATAAAACCGTTGGATACAGGCAGATCAAGGCAGAGAGGAGGAGACACAGAAGAGCTGGCAAGCTATTCCAGCAATTTGTGCGGAAGATGGTGGTGGCCTGGACTAGGGTGGGGCCAGCAAAAACAGAAGGGAAGTAGCATGTGTGGGCGTCACCAAGGGAGGCATACATACATCAGGCTGAGTGTTGCAGCCTAGTGCAGAGAACAGGGCTGGATTTCGACTTCTACATTACAGCTCAGGTCTTCAAGGCCCCGAGAATCATTCTGCACGCGCATTCTTTCCACTGACAGAGCCAGGAGAAGGGGGCCGTGCCATCTTACTGGGTAATGGAGAACATAAGCAAGTTAGCTTACGGCCCATCTGACTCGTTGTGGTGCGTGCTCAAAAGACGCCTGTTCCCTTCCTCATCGCCTCACCTCTGCATCCGCCTCCTGTCTGTGGCTGATTGCCTCAGAGAACAGAGGGCAGGAGACAGTGAACAAAGACATTGATCTGGGCGGTGCCATTTCTTTTAGAAGTAAAGAGAAACGAGAGGGCCAGCAGGTAGCACGGAGATTAAGGCACTGGATCCCACGTGGCTGACTGCAGTTCCAGTCCTGGACTGGAAAATCATGCCAGGTGTATGTGTGTGTGCCTGCCTAAAACCCTGAGAGGAGACTGGAGGAGGAGGGATGTGGCACGGCCATTGTATGTAGTGGGTGGGTTCTAACTCCCTCTCCAGCCCCCACCTCTCTGCCCATTCTCCATGGGAAAAAACTGTGGGAACTGTCAGAAGCAGGGGGAGATAGGGCTGTTTTTTGAACTTCGAGTTTGAAGGGATGGCAGGCTCGCCATACTAGGACTGGAAGCCCACAGGCTTGGTTGCTGGAGAAGAGGAAGCGGAGGACGGAGGATGGAGGACGGGGAGGCAGGAGTCATCGAT